GTATAGGTCATTTTCAATCAGCAAATCATATGGCCTACTATGCTGGAAATTAAACTATCAGAAGACTTTGTATTCATGGTCAAAAGGAAATTTCAAGACCGATCTTGAAGTATAATGCTGTCATCTGTGACAGGGTTATATGTCCGCATTCAAGGAAATCCCATCCATGCAAATATTATTCAAATTTATGAACCAACCACTAATGCTAGTGATGCAGAAATGAAGAATCCTACCAACAGTCTTCATCTGAAACTGATTACCCATGCAGTCAAGGTGAGTTCATCGTTACTGGTGGTTGGAATGCAGAAGTTGGGAACCATGAGGAAGGAACCGCAGTTGGAAGATACGGACTTTAATTTTGGCCCCATGTGTAAGCAGCTGAGTTCTTTATAGACCTCTGATCAACTCCTCGTTCTTCCACTTAAGAATACCATCCAGCTCAAGGATTAGAAGATTAGCTTCTCTCCTTTAAGTGCCACTCTTTGGAACACATGCTCAATCCTTCCTGTCCCAGCATTCCATTGCTATCTGTTCGATCAAATCTACTGAGATGTCCTTCCAGAATCTCATAATCAGCATCAAAGCTATTCCATACATCCAAATTTGTTTCTGCTCTCAATTTCCCCATAATCACTGCGGATATCAGAATTTCACAAGATTTAAAGTTCAGTATCATGTAGAATGTAGGTTGCTATCTCAGTTTATATCTGCACGCTCAGAAGCTATCATGTCATATGGTCACATCTTTCTACAGAACCTATCGCCTGTATTATTACAATAGCCTCGGTCTCCAAGGCCTCTTAATATTTTTTGACATCTACACATAAACATCAACCCTGGTCAATTCTTTCCCCGCTCCACCAGGCATTTAAGATGTATAATGTATGGCTTCAAAGTACACATACAGCCTATGCAGTGTTTCCTGAATGTCTTCGACATTTGTAAAAAAAGTTTCTAGCTCTCAAATTCTATCTTTCCTGCTGTTTAGTGATTAGTTCCAACAACAGTTGTTGTATTATACTATTCTTCAAATGCCATCTCCTTATAAAGCCTACTGAAAGACCAGCTCTGAAAATATCCGAGTTCCACTGCCATACCCCAAAGGATATTTTTAACTGTTTGCAAAATGGAACTGTATGCAGTTTCCCTGTTTTTCTAAGTACAATGACATTTTCTTTTCAAGACTGTTTATTTACAACTTGAACTGCCCTGTGCCTGTTTCTTCACCTGTCAAATAGAAATAAAATCTAAATGACAGATTTTGAATGGAAGGGGAATTTACAATCTGTTAAGTGTTGTGGCTTTAACTTTTTTTTAAGCAATAGTTACGCATGTGTCATTTAACACAGACATTGCATTTGGTGAAAAGGACTATTCTCTGATTTGGACGCAGTGCAAACACCATATTGAAAACCTACTAGAAGTCCATTTCAGGCATCCGAAGGCATGAGATGGTGCGATCTCAACAGCAAGGGGGAAGTCAGCCAGGAGGAAAGGGGATTGCCACCAGACCACTGTATGCTTCAGCCCAACTGAGCAGCAGGAGCAGCCAGACCCCACAGGTTCGCTTTGCTGTACCTGTTTGCTGAGGCTGAACCAATGCAAAGGTACCTGGCAACAAAGTGCACGTGGGGCACAGCCTCTTTGCTTTGATGTCCATTTCATACAAGGCAGGCGATGATACTAGAAATCAATAAATGACTTTTGAATCTATCATCTTATTTTACTAGATTGAGTATCCTGGTGCAGGAAACCTGGATGGCTTCCCATTTACTTAAATTTTAATTTTTTAAATCGTATTCATTATAAAAACCTATGTCTTTCAAGGTTTAAATTATATCTGGGTTGTTTTATTCTGTTAGATTACTATGGCACATTGAGATCGTTTCCTTGATTTCCTTTTTGCATTGCTCTGTCTTAGAAGAAGTGCAGCCAGAGCATCCCTTAGAGGGAAGGGTGATCAGACTTTGCCTTCCATACTTTGGACATGTTATCAGGAAGACCAGTCGCTGGAAAAGGACACCATGCTTGGTAAAGTGGAGGAGCAGAGAAAGGAGGCAGGTCCTCAATGAGATGGATCGGCATTGTGGCTGCAACAATGAGCTCAAATGTAAAAACAATGATGAGAATGGCCCGGAGAATGGAGTGTCTTTCTGTCTGTACACAGGGCCCCACAAGTCAGACCAGCCCCAGTGGCACCTACTACACCCAATGTTGATGGGAAGCTTAGTCTATCTTGCTCCCCATAAAAATCTAGTCTCAGTAAGCCTGTACAGAGGAACCAGCTCAATGGAAGTATATTTTGGTTTTTAACATAAGGTTTAAAGACATTTTAAATACACCTATCTTTATGGACACATGTCAAATTGACACATGAAACAAAAGCACCCATATTCTTTTTTGTTTAACTTATTTAAAACACATAAGCCACTAACTTAAAAATGAAACGATGTGATAGCTACAATGTATAATATTTAACATTATACAACTTGACATGTTGGGTTCCACATATCACTAGGGTTTGCTTGATATTCTCTACGGCATTGTTCATCTCTGCATTTGAGGCTTACTTTCTAAGAACTTTTGGACTACGTTTATATTATTCAAGTAATGCTTTCATGAGTGAAACCGATTTACTAGGCTTAACACTCGGTTTATGTTCACATGAAACTGACACGTATCCCTAGAGATAGGTGTGCCACACAGAGATTTTCGAGATTAGAAGGCTTAGAAGAAAATTAATTCTGATATATATCTCACCAAATGGATAAAGTCAGCATCAATGGTAGGAGGTAAATGTAAATGGTTTCTGTAATTTTCATTGAGGAAATAAAAATGCTCCAAAATGTCCATCCCATAAATCTATGTTAATATTCCATGTAGTATTATTTGCAATAAATAAGAAATGTGGGGCACACAATTGTCCCCAAATTGGCAGATGATTAGATTACAATTGTGGACAAAGAATGCATATACTTATTATAGATGTTTCTAGTATGATAAAAATCATTTGAGTCAGACACTAAGAAAAGTGAAGTTTTCAGAAAAATGGGAGAAGGGAGAGTGGTCAATGCAAGACATGAAAATAATAATAATTTATAACTTATCAAGGGTTAATGAGGGAGGGAGGGTGGAAAAGAAGGCAAAAATGAGGAGCTGATACCAGGGTCTCAAGTAGAAACAAAATATTTTGAAAATCATGATTGCATATGTACAAATGTACTTGACACAATGGATGTATATATGGACTGTGATAAAAGCTGTAAGGACTCCCAATAAAATGAATTTTTAAAAAATGAAATTTGGATACGTGCTACAGCATGAGTGAATCTTACAAACACAGTCCGCTAAGTGACCTGCCAACCTTGGGTTCATATGTGTCTCCTGTCACAAACCTAACCCACAAACCGAACCTGCTGACCTTGGGTTCATCACCTCTGCAGCCACCAACCTGGGGCACCCAGACAAGACTTTGTCCGCTTCTACCGTGAGTACACCGTTTTCTTGATATAAATGCCTATGTGAGCGCACGCCCCACTATGTCTGTCTCTCTCCCTTGCCACTCCCCCTCACTGGTTTCGCTTCTGTAGAAAACCCAGACTATTATATTTCATTGCATTGTTTTTCATGCCTCCTCTTTAACAAAAGCAAAATTAAGTGAAGGAGAATATTGTGTTTGTCTCAGATCACATTATTTATTTGTTTGTTTGTTTAGTTTTGCCCTTCAAATTCAGGGTTTTTTTAATTGTTTTATTAGCGGCTCATACAACTCTTATCACAATCCATATATGCAACAATTGTGTAAAGCGCATTTGTACATCCATTGTCCTCACCATTCTCAAAAACATATGCTCTCCACCTAAGCCCCTGGCATCAGCTCCTTATTTTCCCCCTCCCTCCCCGCTCCTCCCTCCCTCATGAAACCTTGATCATTTATAAATTATTATTTTGTCATATCTTGCCCTGTCCGATGTCTCCCTTCACCCACTTTTCTGTTGTCTGTCCCCCAGGGAAGAGGTCACATGTAGATCCTTGTAATCGGTTCCCCCTTTCCAAACCACCCTCCCTCTATCCTCCAGTATCACCACTCACACCACTGGTCCTGAAGGGCTCATCTACCCTGGATTCCCTGCATTTGAACGAGAATATTTTTAAGATCTAAAAAGCATTTTTAAAAAGGTGGTGGGTGTGGAAATGATCCTTTGATCTTAAAGAAACCTGTAAATCATAAATGATTTTGAGAATTGATTCGCCTTGAGTTACCTTTGAATTTTCTACCTCAGAAGGCTTTTATTCATGTTGGTACAATGGAAACAACTTGGTTTGACATTTTTTGCAGCCTGAAGCCTGCCCTGTGATTGGTCTATTGCTCATACTATGCAGGGACTGACTGGTCAGCCCCTGGTCCTACGGGAAGGAACATGCTTAAAAACCCACCAGGAAATCTGTTTGTACACCCACTTCTCGCTATCTACCCAGTACCGCACTTTATACTTCTGACAAATGGCAGGGGGCGGGGTGGTGGTAGTGCATCCAGGTGATGCCTCTGCTGGGGCATCCTCAGTGGGCCCCCTCAAACGATATAATACTAAAGGCCTGGCAACAACTAGACCACAGGAAGACAGTGGCTAAGTGGCCAGCCCATTCAACTGTGCTATCTCACTATGGCCAAGCAAAGTTTGAGACAAGTGATGGGACAAGACAAGGTCAAGGAACAATGAGAAGAGGTTGACAAAGACCCCACAGGGCTAGGCAGCCTGTGTGGGGAAGCTCCACTGTGGTTCCTAGACAACTGTCTCAGGTTCTTAACTCTAAATCATCATGGTCAAAGGACAAGGTTAGTAACAAATTAAAAGTGCGGTATTTGAGCATAGAATGAATTAAAATAGGTATGGATGGGGGAAAGAAATCTAAGAATGAGGAACGGGAGTTAATGAGAATAGGAAATAATGTTGTGTGTTTATTACCCCTCCCCCTCACCCACCCCGCAAAAAGCTCACCCAGTATGAGATGTTGCTGAGTTCCATAAAGTCAACAAACATCAGGCAGCATGATGTGATAGTAAGAGTTCTGGACTGAGTCAAGGGACCTCTGTTCTAATCCAAGGCCTCAGTTTCCTCATCTGTAAAACGAGGGTGCTAAATTAGACAAATTAGAGGGTGCTAAAGGGACTCCTCTCGTTTTTAACTCTACAGATGAATACGGGAAGAAGCAACAAAACGCAGGGTTTTTGTGAACAGTTAAACTTCACTGTTCCAATTGTGAAATACAAGTAGGAAGAGGAGAAGACGATTTTCCAGATTGAAAAATGGCCCCCAAAGTTTAATTGCAAAAAGTAATTTGCTAGTTTAGCTGTTAGATTTTTAGCATATACCACTCTTAGGGCATTTCAATACAAGCTGGATTAGTAATGAGTGACAAAATTATGCCTTAAAATAACCTATTTACTTTTGACTAAGTACATCTAGAAACACAGTACACGGACACCTCTGGGCTAATAATCAGTTTAAAGTCATAAAGTACCTGAAACTGTCCTGATTAAGTAAGTGAACAGTCATAGAAGAACATAAGAAAAATTAGACCATATTAAGCAACTATTTAATTTTAATACCCAAGAAAATTATTATGCCTATGATGCCCTTATTAGATAATGAGCATTTTCCTTACGTAAAACCATTTTTACGGCTCTGTCTTCTGATAAAATAAATTAGAATGCTGTTCTGCCCGTGCCATACTTTGGGTGACGCATTGTGGGTCCCGACTCCTAGCAACCCTGTGTACAGCAAACCAAACATGGCCCAGCCCTGCCCGTTGTCACTACTGCTGTGTGTGAGCTACCAGTGCAGTCACTGAGTCAATCTTATCTGATTGGGGGTTCTATTCTTTTTCGCTGACTTGACTTTACCAAGCATAATGCCCCTTTCCAGGGACAGGTCTCTCCTGATACAAATCCAAAGTATGAATGCTTGATTTTTTAATACCAAAGGTAATCAAAGCCTGTATCGGTAACAGATAATACAAAGGCGCTGTCATCTCAAAAATAAGTGGTTTTCTAACTGGAATTTCCTTAATAATTAACTTCACGGTCATAGTTAATCCCCCAGTGTCTAAGAGACTGAACTACTTGTTAAGTTAAACAGATTTATTTGATATTCTACAATTAGTTGTTAGACTTCAAGACTCCAGGGTTATGTAAACGAGTAAGCACACCACTAAAATCGAGGACACTGAATGCCTGGTAAAGGATACAGAGGCACACTGAAACATTCAATTGGAGCGAAGCCAGACGTTGTCTTTCAAGTTTGCTTTAATACAAACTACTTAAAGTGATTTTAAAATAACCTGGTGCACATAGAACTTCATTCCTTATGTACTTGAACTGTTCACCTTGACAATACAAAGTACCTAATACATTATTCAGAATTGCTAATAAAATTTCTCTCTGGCTGGTAGAAATGAGTACAAAAATAAAGCAGTCCTGATGGGAAATTTGTTCTTAGGTATTCTTAAAATGGCTGTTATATCTATGTGTTCCCAGGATTAAAAATGTATGAAACAAACCTTTCCTTTACAATACCTCTATTTTTCATTTGCACTGTGATATTTTGATTTATAATCCCAATAAGCTAGTCAAAATTACCTTTTACTTAGTGGCAAACAACAGATATGAACCAAGTAAACATCAAGCTCAATTCTGAGCAAAAATGGTTGTAAAAGCAGGTTTCTCCAGACGCTTAACTCCCATCCCCTTCTCAGATACAATGTCTAAACAGACTTAAAACTTAAATTTGGAAGTAAAACCCTACTGCTGCTGGTAAGATACAATGAACAGTACTGTCCTTTCACTTCTACTTTACAGATGTAAACCAGGTCCTGCAAAATTCAGGCCTGGCTGCACCATCTTTCATTAAATAGTCTTCTCTAAGAAGGCCTTGGGGCTAACGTGAACAGTGAAAGGAGGGCGTGATGCCCAGATTACTAGTTGGGATGTAGTATGAAACTCATTGGATTATTTCCCACTAAACGTCTGCCTGTATGTAGGACAGAGAAATGTATTTGTGAGGCCTCCTACCATTTATGTAAGGTCAACAAACGGCACAATTTTTCAAGGACTCAAATACCTCAATTAAGATATAATATAAATTCTTGGAACAGTAGGTATGGCTATAGTAGGGCACAAGATATAGCATGTTTAGTTTGTCAATACTCTAGTATCTAAAGATATCATTTTGGGGGTGGGGGTGGGGAAGATCATTGCAATAAATTTCAAACAAAAAAGACAAAATCCCAAAAAAGATGTCTAAATTCTACTATTTAGCGTCACAAGAAAAATATGAAGCCACTTGTAACAAGAAGTGAATTCATATTTTTTCCTAAAATATATCTCCTAATTTAGTTTAAGGCTTATCTCATAATTATGAACTAAATGGTTATACACAAATTTATGGTTTCAAATCTCACTGCTTATAATTTCAAATAATATTTCAATCAATATTCTCTCATCCCTAAATTACACAACTTATTCTATGATATACACATATTTAAAAACAAGCTTATCAGAATAGATTTCCTAAAAGGGGGACTGGCATTTATAACTAACACTAAATATTATAGAAATGTCTTTTAATAGCACTATATTTGCCTCTGTGTTAGTCTGGGTAGACTAGAGAAACAAATCCATGGACACACATATGTGTATAACAAAGAGGTTTATATCCAAGAGCAATTGAACATCCAGATCAAGTCCGTGAGTCCAATATTAGCCCATATGTACGACACCAATCCATAAAGTCCTCTTCAGACTCACGAAACACATGCAATGACGCCAAATGCAGGAAGATCACGGGCCAGTGAGTAGACAGTCTCTGGATCCAGTGGCAGTGGACACATTTCAGGTCTGGCAGGGGTCTCTGCACGGCTTTTCCAGCACCCAGGGCTACATCAGGGTGGGTTCATGTGTCTTGTCTCATCAGCTGCTATGTCTCCCAGGGTGTGAGCAGTCTCCCACCTCCAAGGAGGAAAATGCCAGATTTCCCAGAATCCTCAGGAGAAGGCCATGCCCACACAGAGGCTTCATTGGCTATATCCTGATTGACAGGCTATACTCCACCCCTTCGCTCTTAATCCTCAAGCTGACAAATGATGATATAACTACCACAGCCTCCTAACTATAAGAACTACAAAATCCTGTAAGCATGATCATTCTTTTTTTTTTAATTTAACAACTCACTAATGCAGTGTTACCATATTCTCAAAGTATAGATGGTCTTTCAAAATTCTGATGACTCAAACATAGCTAACAATTCTAGCATAAAAATCACATGACATTTCTCTTTTGAGAAATAATTACAAAGTATACAAAATCATATTTCACAAGTTAAAATCGGTTAATTACAAAAGTGGGAAGAAAATCCAATCATTTCTTCTAGCAGCATTTTCAAAACCTTGTTTAAAATAAGCAACCTGAGGAAATCCATCTCTCATTAATCATATTCAACTCTGAATACACTCTAATTAAGTACCCCTCCCCTCAGATTTTATGTATTATGTTATCTTAATTATTCTCTGCTTTATCATTTTGAAAGTTATCAAATTTATTATGTGGGTATGTTTTATCTTCCCACTTAGTTTATATACTTTATATACACACATACATATTCTAAATAGTTCAGAGCTCACTGCATAGCAAGTAATACCTGATTGATACCACTAAATAGAAACATCTTTGAGAAATACGATCTAGTAGTCTTCATTTTTAATTTCATTATAAATATGTTCAGATGGAGAAATGGCACTGAATAAATCCATAGCCATCATCTTTATAAAACCCTTTCTTTATATTTTCCATCTCTAACCATAATTGATCTTAATTTTTGAAGTATTTCCGAAAAGGTTGTGTATATTAATACACTTCTCCCATAAGCATGTCAGAGTGTCTATCATTAATTGTACTGTGTGCCAGAGAGCGGATTCTAACTCATAAGTATCCTACAGGATAGAGAACTGCCCCCATTGGCTGGCTTAGGCTGGTCGCTGTAAATGGAATTAATTAAATGGTGTGTGGGCAAGCAAGCTGTTGGTTACTTGGTTGGTTGGAACCATTATCAGAAGCAAGTCATCCGGTCTTTTCTTCTGAGGACAACGGGAGGCGGCTCCCTAATTGGATGTGAACTACCGGTTGGCTGAGCAGTTAACCAGTGCACTAACATTAACTATAATGACAGTTATAATGAAAGATCAATGTTAACAATGGACAAAACTGAAGTCCGTCACTCATTGAGTTCTGATAAAACACACACCCCAAGTAGCCTAATTCCTAATGGGATACTAGGTGTCATACACCCTTTGAACATTCATATGTGCCCTTTCCCACTTAATCTCTGTCTACAATGTCTACCCACCAGTTAGCCCCTACTCATCACTATTAGCTAATACAAATCAGTTTTGCCCCTTTTAGGACACCACATATGAGATTTCAAAAAGCTAGTGGAAAATAGCCATTATCTTTTCATTTCATTCTTCCTGGAATTTTTTGAAGACTCCTCATGTATGGACTCACACATTATGCTCTCTTTTGGACGTGTTTCCTCAGTATCTATTTTAGCGATATTAAGAGATCTTAGTTGCTGCATATATCACTAAGTTGTATTTATTTGTTACTATGTTACTATGAGTAACATTCCCTTATACAAACACTGCACAGCTTAATGATTCTCCTGTCAATAAACATTTGGACTTTTCCAGTTAACGGACATATTTTTAATGAATCTGCTATGAGCATTATGGTACAAGTCTTTTGAGTCATGGGTTTTCATTTCTCGTAGTTGGCTTAGAGATGAAGTTTTTGTTTTGTTTTGGTTTTTTAATACAGCAGACTTTTCTCTAAACTGGTTGTGGCATTTTCTAGCACACCAGCAATACCTGGTGCCCTACGACCTTGCTAAATTTGGTACCGCTGGTCTTCTAATTTTAACTATTTTGTAGGGACGTTGGATAGCTGCACATTTCGTTTGCATTCATCGTGATTAATATTGCTTATGCCTCCTTATGGGCTTATTGTTCACTCGTAAGTATTTGCTCAAATGTTTAGCGGATTTTTAATTAGGTTGTCTTCTAGAATTG